GCTTGCTTGTTCCTTTCTTTTGTGGCTCTCACCCACTAAGGGGGATTGGCCAAGAAGCCGGTGGTTAATGCAAGTCAATACCAATAGATTTTCTAGATTAGGGGAATATGATTACTGTGTTTTGACTGTGAAATTAATTTGGCGCAATGTCAAAAAAAGAAAAAAAGGGGGGGGAGAAATAATTGAATTTGATGAATATCTGAGGTGGAATCGTTATATGAAATTCTCCTGAAAGTTGAATCGTTGCAGTGTATCAGCTAAATAATAAGTGGTAGTGTGGCTAGTAAAATTCGAATTCGAGAGGCGATGTTGCTTGCCAACGATGCGTTTTCTTCTTCACTATTATTATTATTATTATTATTATTATTATTATTATTATTATTATTATTATTATTATTATTATTATTATTTATTATTATTATTATTATTATTATTATATTATTATTATTATTATTATTGGTTTTTTGAACGCCCCAAAACACGATATGGCTTGTAAAGGAAGCCTTGCACATTGACTTCTCGACACAGTTGAAACACTCCGCCCCGTTCCCCCCTAAAAAACTGCTTCATAGTTTGTCATTCAAGGGCGTAAATTGCACGTCTGACAGATGAATTAGGCCAACTTTATGTGACGTACGTAGTTTGGACGCAGACGGTACTTTCCCCTAACTCCCCCCCCCCCCCAAAAAAAAAAAACAACTGCTCCCGTTTTTCGTTGTAAACAGCTTAACTAGAATGTAAAACTAGTAGCAGACATTCTTGCGACGCTTACCAATGATATTCAGTACGCAATTAAAATTTTCCTTCGGGCTAGTAGAAATCAGGTCATGATAGGTTTTAAAAAATAACCAAGAAAGCAGGGAAACACGAACGAGGCAAGGCATAGAACCTGAGGCATTATCTGTTACACGAGCCAAGTCTTGCGTTCTTCAATCAACGCTAACCGAGTCTGCGGTGTAGGTATCCCACAGTAAACGAAGCGTGACCGAGCTTTACAAGTTCCGCCACCGAGGCGCAACCGCTTATTGACAGCAGCAGCAACGCTGCACCGAAATCGCTCCAGGCTATCGCATACATTGCACGGAGCGTGGTGCGGTGTATTAGCGAAAGCAAGGCTAATCGACATCGCGCGCACGGGGCAACGCTACTAAATGCGGGCATTGAAAAGCAAGACCCCCCATAAAGCTTTCAGTCCTTGCACGCACCAATTATGGAAATGCGCGCGCTTGCTGCGCGAGGGCGCGCGTGCTGCAGGAGTGACAGGGTGTGGCTTGTGGCTACCACGTGGCGGTTGGATTAATGCCATCGTATACGATTCGCAGTGCCGTAATAACAGTAGCCCACTACCTAGCGCGGTGGGCTACCGAGTGTGGTTCACATTCCCCACGCGTTTCATCAGCACGCTCGTTGGACAAGCAATTTATTTTCTGTTCGGAGGTCGCATTGAGCTTATACTTCGGCGTAGCGGGGTCCTAATTCGTAGGGCTTTTCGTCCTGCTCTTAGCAGTTGGCAAGACGGCTCCCCTGCTGATATGTCTAGCATTGGGACTCGTAAAAAGTTTCGCTTACGAACAATACTAGTGTATGAAAATCAGAGAACGTTTAATTGAGCTTCGCCTTGAAGAGTATAACGCGATAGCACATATAATCAGACACCTTTCGTATCGCCTTTTCGATCGCAAGCCTCGTGTCTCGGTCAGCACCTCAACCATGTCGCAAGGAGAGAAGCGGGCTTGCGAGTAACATTGGCCGTTGGAAATTACCCTGTAATGCGTATACTGCAAGTCGAACTGCGAAGTGTGCACTGCGCCATAATTCTTCTTTTCACAAATAAGAGAAGTACCCATTACGTGTCTGTAAACCAATACGCGAACCTTCAAGTCTACTCATTTGTTTGGTGCTTTTGCTGTTGATTGCGGTTAAATATGTCCCGGCGATTTGTAATGGGCGCGCCCTTAGACCCCATTCTCGTTGCGCAATTCACAAGCCTTGACGCCTGGTGCGCCTCATATTTTCGCTCGTAGACAACGCATATTTTTTTTTCGCCACTAAAGAGCTCAACGCCAACACCGCAACTTCGGCCTAGTGACCTCTTCAACGCTATCGCAATATTACTAGTCGAGAACGACGTGTGGCTTGCAAACACGAAGAAACGAGAAGAATACGAGAGAACAACAAACGCATTTGTTTTGACTTCATGGTGACCTTGTCTTCTTTTTTGGGGGATCCCTGGATACGACGTTTTCTTGCTAACATGGGTCCAGCGTTAGTATTCACAAGGAAATCGCTCAAGTTCAAAGTTTTGTTCGTGTTCGTACACTTTGTATGCTGCCGAAGAAATTCGTGATGACAGCAAGCTTTAGCTGGAACTTTCGTTCAATGAATTTCATTCGGAAGAACCAGCTGCTTCTTTCGTATCTCACCTGTCTTATGTCCTATGTGTTTTCACTCAGTACCATCATAAATTACTAGTTCCGCTTTGCCCATCTAGCAATCTTGTTCTGTTGAAGCAAGCTTGTGGGAACTCGACCCCAGATCACTTGGCTGTGGTGGTAAGCACATGTAGCCTCGAGAGCACAGAAAGTTCTGGAAGTGGCGTGGCAGGATTTTGCGTGAAGTCTTGCAAAGTGGCTTCTGGATGAGTTAATATTTATGGCTTGATAAAAAAAAACGAATTGCTGCGCCTGGCTTATCGCACACTGTCGCTTATCAGTCGCGCGCACCGATGGTGGCACTCCGCGCGACCATCGCGTCAAGTCTGCCAAGCCTGCGTGAGCAACAAAGCTTCAGGAGAGCCGAAGCATGTGGCGAAAGGCATTTCGCATCCAGTAGCGTGAAAGGTAGCCGGTGAGCGGTTGTGCAGCGCGTTGTCTCTCGCAGGTGAGCGAGCGTTTCCATAGTCGAAGAGTGCCGTTTGCTTTCAGGCTTGGTGAGAGAGAGTGAATTCTCTCTTGGCGAGAGAAAGTGGTGTCTCCCTTGAGCTCAAGCAAATCGACCATCACGACAGCAGCTGCAGCGGACGATGGACGATGCACGCCGATGCGCCGAGACCCTATAGGGAGCTTCTCCCCTCAAGAGCGCGAAAGTTGAAATCATTTCAAAACCTTGTAAAACGATGTCTCTCAATGTCTTCCTTTGACTACGGAGTGCGCGAACCTTAGCGAAAACTTTTCAATTTGGCGACATTGGGAATGTTTAAGGTTACAAATAATCTGCGCTTAAATACAAGTACAAAGGTGTCTTATCCCTTTATGACCCCTGGAATGCAACCACAGTGCACAATAATCTTACGTAGGCAGTGTTACATCTACTGGACTACCGCGGATTTCTGTCCGGTAATATGCGTTATATGAATGTACGCCATTCACTATCACCATTATACTACACTCATTATTAGCCAGCTTGAAACGCTCAGAACTTGCAGTGCAAGTTTGGGATTGCGTATACATGACACATTCACCTGCTTCTTTCTCGGCTGCAAGCTGCACCGAACTTGCTTTCCAGTGCGAGCGTAGTCAAACGAACTATTTTATTTTGGATTTAGTTTTTGCGTTTGTTCTCTCTCTCTATCTCTCTATATTTCTCTTTTTTGTTTTTGTGTTTTGTAGTTGCCAGGCCAAGTTTATACTCTTGGCACAAACCACAGTTTCTGTTTGTTGTTAAAGGAGGAGATTCGTATTTCATGGAAGACTCATCAGATTAACACTCTTCTGCGAAGACGGCATCTACTTATGTTTTGTTTGCCGAGTTCCTCCAGTATTGCCAGTCCATTTTCACGGCTGTGGTGTTGGAAAGGTCGAGCCGAGTGGTGAGAGTTGAAAAATTAGCGTAAACACTTCTGGCTCTTCGCCTGTTAATCAGTGTCAGTACGTAACCATAAACCCTGTTGCCGTTAATGTAAAGCAGATGGACTACACGCCGAAATACAACAAACACAAATCACCGTCTTCGCGTATTCTCGTCGCGAAGACCTTGAAAAAAATATAAAGAAGCATACAGTCAAGATTAAACCTATATATATATATATATATATATATATAATATATATATATATATATATATATATATATATATATATATATATATATATATATATATATATATATATATATTATTTTGTTTCTTTCATCGTTATCACGCACATAACACGTAGTTTTGGTCTATAACAAAGAGTTATTCGGCCAGGTAGCTAAATTGTAACCTACTGAGCTCACGTTTCTAACGTTTCATGCAAACAAGTGTGATTTTTGGTGCCTAGCGTCCTGTTAGTTATGTCCATTGTTTAGCCAACTGCCACAACAGTATACACAATGTAATAAAGGCTATTATTTGTAATCTTCCTTTATTCTCTTTTTCTTTAAATAAAAGAAGTGTGAATGTATGACATGGAAACTGGAGGCTATATAATTGGTCGATTTCTTGATATATTTCTTCGCAAAGCATTTGTAATATTCTGATGTGTATTACTTTTCGCAGTCTATCTTCGCACAATACTTCGTTAAAATGGATGGTCAACAGACGCTTTTATGCCTCTCTTCTTATTGCCGACTTCCCACAGCAACATCATACAGTGAAACTTTACAATTGTAAATGAAATTGAGACACAGAGAGCTGCAGAACTCATCGAGTTTCTAAGAGAGATTTGAAAACTGTAACCTAATCGCTCAACCATACAGCATTGGGATACGGGAATTGCATGGAGATAGATATGACTAATCAGGAACAGGGCGGAACCATATTTCCGTTTAGGACTCACACGGATTCATATTCGCAAAACAATATGCTATAATACGGTGAGCCTGTCGCATTTGCGGAAATTCCGCTCAGCCTCGCTCACATAGACTCGTGCTTCACAAAATTTTGCTCAACCGGAATTTGTTTAGACTGACACTCACGTTGCAAATCCAAGCGAGCCGGCTCATGATACGCGTTTACCAGTCCGTGAAGTTCGGCCCTGAAATAAACGTCAACTTACGTTCTCCCTTCTACGTTTCTTGCAGGCTGCACAGTTTGGCAATGACACGGCCACGAAATCAGCGTTCCTGTTCAGCCAGAGGAGGAGTGCGAAGTTTCCCATTATGCGACCCAGGCTGAGGACCACCACGAGAAGTCCGCTGCCCGACCCGCCGCCAACCACGCCCCGCCAAGAGAACCTACAGGTACGGTGACGTCAAGAGACCTTGTTCATCGAGGAAACATGTAGGTCGCAAGGTGGTACTTTATTACAGTAGTCCATTCGTGGTTCTGACACAAGATGTAGGGTCGGCTAAAAATGAGGGAAAGAAGGGGAATTGATCAGGCTCTCGTTTTCTTCATTAGACGCAATTTATTGAAACGAGCCCTGAGCGCGATGAACCAGAACATTGATTTCGCGTCTGTTTCAGGCACTTTCAACTCACTTTCGTATGTAAGACATCCTTTGTGGTATTGTACATTTTAACCCAACAAGCATTACGTTGACATTTACACGATTTTTTTTTAAACATGCGTAATGTGAGGCAAAACTGATTGGGAAGAATCCAGTTTGGGTAACTGAGAACCAGGGAAGTTTTTGTGCGAGCAACGTTATGCATGTGTGATCGGTGACATCATTTGGATAATGTCTGCACGCGCGTAATGGTACATGCTTGTAAATCTGGCTTCTCCCGCAATAAGACTTGACAGAAGGAGAAGCCCGTTTTTGTGATTGCCTGTTCTGTACAAATGTGAATCTTGAAAGCATTCATACGCACATAGAAACCACCAAGACAGCTATCATCGCAGCCGTAACAGTCCTCATAAACAAGCGTAGATAAGGTCCTCTGAGTTGGATTTATATTATCCAGTCTCAGCTTTACCTGGCTGCACTAAAATTTACGTTAGTAACATATGGTTCAATTTACAATATTTTTTCTTAACTCGAGCTAACATACAGAAAAGCCAAGGATCCTTGATTTTTCTGTGTTAGCTCTAATTTGCTTTCTTCTAAAGAAAAACACGTCCTTAAAATTGCCATTTCTTCGATAATCTTTTAATATGCTTTTTGTATACGATTTCACTTTACCACTTTTGTTCGTACAACTTCATATGAAAATTTTATAGTTTCATGCTTTCATGGTTTTAATAGCTTTAAGATCATAAAAAAATTTGTACCTTTCTGTCATATTTACATGTGCGAGTTCAGAGATTCGGTGCCATCTGAGTGACAATATTGACAATCGCTTAAACCTAACTGGAGAAAAATGTGGTGCATATTTCATTGAATTAATCTGTTGTGTAAGGAAGCCACAATCAACTCTAGAACAACAGATGCATGCCGGAAGTTCTATAAAGATATTGGCTGACAGGCATATAAAATCAATAGCCGTATATATTTATTTTATTAAGAAAACATGTTTCTGCAAAAACAATTTGTGACTCTGAGCCACAATGTAACGCAGGAACGTAAAGCACCTCAAGCTGTCTCAGTGCAGCTTTTATGTTAATCTCCAGCGTTGGGTGATCCATCGCAATTAAAACAAATTAAAAGGAAATAAAATTTTTATTGCATGTGCGTTAAATGTGGTTCAAACGCATGGTACATTGAAAAAAGAGTGACATGAGTTCTGAATTTCTTTACTTGCATTATCTCTTGCTCTTTGTTTAACGCAAAAAAAAAAAAGGCGTGATAGATGGATATTGGGAGAAATATTTTAGTATGTATAGAATGTGTCTCAGCGAATTTGTGTATGCCAAGTATACACGAATTTGCATACCCTGGCGAAAAGGTAAAAGAAAAATAAGGAGGCACAGCTGTCTTAGCACTGTTGAAGTAATCAGACATTACAGAAAAGACGTTACTTTTCTGTTGAATATTGTTTTGTTAAGGTTACTATTCCAAATCGTCATTAGACAATATTTCTTGACTTATCAGCCCATTGGATTGGCAGTTAGCTCAGCCCAGATGAAGCATTCAGAAGTGCTTCAACTTTTAAAATTTCTTGCTAGAGTTACTAAATAAAAAGCCAATTAACCAATCTTTGTTAATTGCCCAGCTTGACGGACGTGATGCGTAAGGATTAGACTAATGCCGTACCATTTCATCACGAGCAGCGCACGTGTTCACAGTTGTAATACTATGGGCGCAAGTTAGCTTAAACAACCTCTGCGTATACTTCACCGTTGATACTCTTTCAACATTGTTTCATGCGGTCACGTGCCACGACGCAGGTGAAGCGGCAGGCGGTGCTCGAGTCGGTGCTCAAGCAGGCGGACATCTTCGAGCTGTCGTCGTCGGACTTCAGCCCCGCGGTGGCGTGGCCCGTGCCCCGGCGGCCGGCGTCTCGCCGGTTCCGCCCCAACGCCATCTCTCAGCCGTCCACGGCACGTCCTCTGCTCAAGCTGCGACAGCCGAAGCCCACGAGGCCCCCCGCGTACTCGCTGGACGGGTTCGTGCCCAAGCCATCCATCATCCGCATCACCACCACCGAGGCGCCACCGCACATTCGCAAGATGTACGCGTCGCCCAAGACCGAGGCGCCCCCGTTCCGCAAGAACGCGCCGCGCTTCGGATCGAAGAAGTCTAAGGTATGTCGGCAGTTTCTCTTAAAAGACTCGGATGGCAAACACGGGCTGTGTTCCAATACTCACCGTAGACGGCTAAATAGACAGCTAAATGGACGGCGGCTATCTTAAGTCCCTTTCCAATTCTCACGTAGCCGGCAAAGTAGACAGCTCCGAGATGACCGCATCGTAGACAAATACGATGCAGGCTACTTTTTATCTAAACAAGATGGCGGCTCAGCGAATCGCTCAAATAGATCGAATCTCACCAGAATGGCCGTCTGCACACAAGCAGACGCTTTCCCAGACGCTCAATGTGAGTAAAGCTTACTTGTTTTTTTTTATTTCAACACAAAACAAGCCAGAAATTACAACTGTGACGTTTGTTTCTTTTAGCTTTTTCTTCTCGACGCGAGGTGGCACATCGTTGCGTAAAAGTTGTCTAAACGTGTTTCAATTCTCGGACAGTATGGGCACGGTGCGGTCTTCTAAGCAGTCTGCGTAGACTGTCTACGTGCTGTCGAAGAATTGGAACACAGCCACGGATACATTTTTAGCCACTATACGGACACGAGAGAAAAGTCGTCACACCCCAAACCAGTAGTGTAGGCAGAATTTTTTTTCCTGACGGGTTAATTATATTGATGTATGTTCGTGCATACGTTTGCATATTTGCGTGCACATACACGCAAGCAAATTTTTAAAAAATTAGAGGGGGGGGGGTTGAGTAGAAGTCAGCGCTCTTGAGTCTCCACCTCGTGCTTGGATTGCTCGTCTGTCATTGGTATCTGCGTGTTTATATGACATGGTGTCTTCTTTGTTCGGAGTTCTTACAAATAAAGATGTCGAACTGTCAGAATGGACGCGTAGGCCGGGAGTTATTAAGGGCTGTTTGCTTGAGCACTGTTACACATAAAAGCCTGCTTAAAACTTGCTGACTTTATCTCGTGACTGTGTTGCCCGAAGTTCAGTAATCGCCCTGTGTTTTAAGTCCACCCCTTTCTGCTCCCCGTTGACAGACAAAGCCGCTGACTAATGATTATGACGACGATGGTCACTTCCGGAAAGGCCGCAAGCACCACGACTCCAGCGGCCGCAAGGGCCTGCAGCGCATCATGGGCAGCCGGGGACCTCGCAAGGGGATTCCGGGAGTCGACTACCCCAACTTCCACCGCATCCCGACCACGGGTTTCGACTGCAACGACAAGCAGTTTCCTGGCATGTACGCCGACCCCGACGCTGGCTGCCAGGTTCGTGTACTGACAAGATGTATACTGACTAGCGTATGCCGCGTCACTCATAACCTCTTTCCAGGTAGCTGCCACAAAGTGACACTTTTTAAAATAAATATCTTAGTTGAAAATTTGTCCGTTGCTTATTATCATAACCCCCCCACCCCCAATGGTGTAAGAAAGAGAGAATGAAATGAGAGAAAGGCAGGGAGATAAACTAGAATTGTAGCATCCGCATTGCTGATTGATTGATATGTAAGGTTTTAACGTCCCAAAACCACCATATAATTATGAGAGACGCTGGGGTAGAGGGCTCCGGAAATTCCGGCCACCTGGGCTTCTTTAACGTGCCCCCAAATCTGAGCACACGGGCCTCAGCATTTTCGCCTCCATCGAAAAATGCAGCCGCCACAGCTGGGATTCGATCCCGCGACCTGCGGGTCAGCAGCCGAGTACCTTAGTTACTAGACCACCGCGGCGGGGCCATCCGCGTTGCTACCCGGCACCAAATGGACGGGGAAAGGAAAGGGAAGGTTGGAAGGACAGCGGCCAAAAAAGAACACAAGAGTGGGACTGCTACAGCGTATGAAATAAACCACTACCACGCAAAACGTTGAATAAGGTCTTAACTGTTTTTCTGCGCGAAGGCAGATCGTGTTGGCATTCGAGAACTGTTCTGACAAGGGTCTGTCTTCAAGGCCGGCTAACACAGCAGCTATAGCGGCAGTCTGTGCGTGCCTTAGCGAGGGCAGTGACAAAGAACATGATCATTTCATCGCTGCTGCAATGGTCGCAAGCAGCATGGTCTTGCCCGGCTGTTCTGATGGCAACATAATTGGTAGTGGAGGAGGCATGGCAGGTGATGTCCTGTCCCCTTCGAAACCTTTGACTCTGCGTCCAGCAGACTACCTCGAACCGGTACCGAAAGAGAGTTGTTAAACACACCAACAGATGTCCACAGTAGGTGTCTCTCATGACCCAGAGAAGATACCATGTGCTGCTGTTGCTGTGAACCGCTGCCCTCCTTTAACCCCATCAGCCCCGGTGGAGCCAAGGAGGTTTAAGAAAAATTTGCTGGGGGGCGGGGGGAATTCTCGCTCACAAATGAGGCCGTGCCAACCGTAAGATGGTGGCTGCAGCAGCCATTTTACTATGGGCATGATGAGCTGTTGGCTTTCGGCGATTGGGAAGGAGCGTTTTTCTCGCACGCCTAACGAGTTTGACGTGGCAACTTCTTCGGTTCGGATAATGCTCAAAGTGCGTCCTTGTGTTAGTAGTTTTCTTTAGTAGGCCTCGAATTCAAGGCAATTGTTTTTTTTTAGATTAACTCACTGATACTAGTCTCTGTGTGTTATTTCTTTTGAAACAACCATCTTTTAAGTTATAAAAAACGTAGCCTTTA